TCCTGAGTTTTGATATTCCATAGCAGTTGTAAGCTGTGAATTGAGGGCGTATCAGGGTCGGTGTGTGTCCAAGCAAGGTGTTGTGCGCGCGTAGGTGTGCAGTAGAAATGAAAAATGATAGTTTAGAATTGGATTTCCCTCAAGAAAAGAAGAGGTCAGAATATCGAACTCACCAGACATGGGATAACCTAACGTGGGTATACTCACAACAAGCTGCGCCGCAGCCTCCGCAGTCACTGCGTTGCGCAGTCACTGCATCAACATGTAAGTGCACCTCCGGGTGTGCAGAGTTGCCTCTTCACTCCACATGATGTATACACAAGATCAACTCATGTTCAGTCACAAATCCCACTTCCACTGACGTGTACGATCTTGTCATAACTTCCGGTCCAACACAAACATCCTCAGGTATATGACCTAAGGATGTTTTTCACTCATAGCCACCTCAAGGATCAAGGATTGATCCGGGTGCGCATGCACCCAGTACGGGGTGCGCCTCTATACAATGCACGTATCTTCACCCTCACTACGCACCTCTGCTCGCCGATGGCGAGCTTGCCATGGGACTCTTGTTGGCCACTTGTTCAATATGATGACCAGGCCATCACATCTCTTCCTTGCGCATCAGCACGCGTCTCAAGCAGCCATTGGAATGCTTGTCATTCAGCTTGCGGAGTTTCTTATTGAGAGACCATCAGGCTGCTCGCCGATGGCGAGCAGCCGTCACACATGAGTATGACCAGGGATATCCATATGTTAACATGTGTCATTGACAGACGTTGATACTCAAACGAGTTGTTCAATATTTTGACTTTGCAATGCAGAGGGGCATTTTTTGAGGTGCTCGCCATCGGCGAGCACCCCTTCTCTCGCATACTCAGCATTGTCGATTGTAAGACATCATGATGGAGCAATCTAAGGCAAGTGGCACAAGTCATCATTGTACATCTCTCAGTCAGTTGACACAAATATAATATTCTCATTTGCAAATCATGAATTCAATTTGTTCATCTACAATATATATAGGCATTTCTATTTCTCTAGGGCACCACTCAATGTATCCATTGAATTACAACTCCACATCTGGATCCTCGCTATCTGAAGTACACCCATGACCTCCTCCTCCTCGTCCATCGCCAGGACCCTCCTCACTAGATTCTTCTTCCGAACTTTCTTCATTACCGGGTTCCTCCGTCGCTGCTTTCGCTTTGTCCGCTGCCATTCGAGTTTCGTTGGTATGATGAAGGGTATGCCGCCCATTCTCGTTGACTTCAGGATACATACTGCCGCCACCATCCACCGGATTCACTAGCTTTCCTTCAGTAGGTCCCCATAAAGCTCGGAAGGATTGAGTTGCAGGCCCATCCATCAACCACTTCTCCGAATCTTCTAGCTTGACGTGCGGTTGCACCAACCCATTTAATCCGCGGCTCAATCCAGGTCTCTGCATTTCCATCATCAAGTCCAAGGTGAAAGCTTGAGCGATATTCGTAGGATCGAATTTTCGGCTGAAGTACCCAGTTAGTGCAGGCCAATCAATATCATTCCTGAAGTCTCCGTTTTCGGTGATGAATCGTTTGAGAGCCCGGTGCATCAGAGAGTCAAGTCGGTTCCATGCTCGGCATCCGAATACGTGCTTCTTGTCTTCGACGTTGCGCCATCGACGTTCATGTAGAATTGCTGATAAGTTGATTAGCAACGCTGCATCATGTTGAGTCGTATCACGCGTGGTCGGCCAAACGTGGAAAAAAGAGGCAGTTCCGTAGAGAAAAAATAAGGACATGGCCTGAATGGCATCACCTCGAAAGCGTGAAAGGTCGTGATTGATGACTTGTGCTATCTTTCTTTCTTCAGCTTTAGTTTTCGCAACAGTCGTTGACGTGTCTGAGCCTTTGAGCCTCTTGCTGACATTTCTATGCTTCGTGTTAACGAGTTGTCGAAGACAGGTCTGATCTTTCTGAATCGCCTTGAGTTCAGCGATTTCTTGAGCGTTGTTGCCCGTCTTCTTCCTTCTCATGTTCTTCGAATCTTCACGATTATAACAATCGCTTTTGTACACCAACATTGTCCCCACGAGCACTAAGAAGAATTTGGCTTGTAGAGCATTAACACTAGCACTGGCGACTCGGTCCCCTCGGGCATTTCCTTCAGGTTTCATTCTCATACTGATTTGATGATATAACCATCCTACAGTCTGAGACATAGGAATGAACTTCTCAGGAATCATAAACTCTCCATCGTTCCTGATGATAATATCGTCATGTTGGGTTTCGTATGATATGAGAGCAAGACTATCGGCTAAAATGTTGTGTAATATCATGCTGCCATTCTTGATGTCACTTTTGAGTTTAGACACTTCGGTCCACGTCGTAGAATCAGACTTGCGGCAGGACATCGCGTGAAGTGCGCGGAATACTCCGTTCATATCTTTAGTGAACGGGAACATAGAGGATTCCTCGACCAACTCCCAGTTCAGTGATGTCTCGTCGAAGAAGGGATCAAGCGCGGACAGTTGCATGAGAAGAGGGGCTAGGTGTACGAAGAATACAAGTCAGTATGCTGTCCTGCGTGCTCGCCTTCGGCGAGCAAAGGCAACACTCTATGATCACTTACCAGTTTGAATGCGTTTTTCCATCAATGCATGATCATCTACTAGGGATTTGATGTACTCAAGATGAGAAGGGAGGTCTGATTCATCAGGCTTGTCGTCCAGGGATCGTCGATCGAAGGACCACAATTGGATGATGGAGCAGACGTTCGACGTAAGGGCCTCTCCCCAATTGAAGGCGACGTTGATTAACTGATCTCTGAAGTTTCGAATTTCTTGCCCCTCGATAGGTGTCATATCCTTGAGAAGACCTGGGAGAAATGTATAGATCATGTTCGTCAGTATGGCAGATTCTGATTGCTCGCCAATGGCGAGCGGTGGTTATTCATCCATGATTACTCAGGCCACGAGACTGTACCGCTCGCCGATGGCGAGCGTTGGACCAATGAATAGGAGTGAAATGAGATTCATGAGCTGATACGTGGACTTACGCGCTAAGTCAGGTTTTGTTCCCTTGCGGAACATTTCGGGTATGATAACCTTCTTCTGCTCTTCTCCATCTTCCTCATCGTCGTCTTCGACTGGTTTCTTCTTGCCTTTCTTCTGAGGAGGATGAACCACGAGGCCTTCTGCTTCTTTTGAGGTAGATTCGGGTCTTTGAGGCATGTCTTCTTCAGGGACTTCCGCCGGGGTTTGAGTCTTGCGTCTCTTGGTGGACTTGATCCCAATGTCGGCTCTTCCTTCTTGGTTACACTCCACTGCCTCCTTCTCCTCGAAGTCCTTAGTGTTCATCCGCTTCCTCGGAGCATCATGAGCTATGTGAGTTTCTCCTTGTTAGTTCTTGTGTTCTTGATCTCCAGCTTAATCTTTCACTTACCTGTTGCATCACTGGTGCGATTCTTCCGCTTCATCGAGGAACCTTGTGTTTCAAAAAGAATGAGGTTTAGTCAGTTCAACCTCCTACATATAACATATTTAGACTGGTCTTACCTGATGCTTGCTTGTCACTTTCTTCAGGTACTGTATCAGCTCCATCACGTTGACTCTTCTTGACGTTGGTGGTTTCGACGGTTGGCACATATACTGAGGGAACGAAGATGACTTCGGGGTGTTGACTAGTCAGGGTAACCATCAATTCATGCTCAGCTTCAGCCATGGTCTTCAGAAGCTCGTCGAGGCTGCGTTGTAGAACATATAGCTGTTTGTCGATGGCACCGTTTTCAGCTTTCTTCTCTAACTTCTCAACTCTGCTTTTCATTATGTTGTACAATTCGCGGACTACGGTGCCATTGGATTAGCATCATCTCAATGTATATGAATCTACATTTGCTGATCGATTCACTTACCTTCTTCGAACTCTTCTGTAGCTTGCTGGACCTTGACTGATTGCATGGTCTGCGTGGCGGGCTTCTGCGTGGAATTTTCATTCGACATTCATTTGATGTCAGTGTCTCATTCTTTTCAATCATTCTTACTGGATCTCTTGACTTACATCTTCCTCTTTCAATCCTTGGCTCGCGTTCCTCTCGTGTTCAACTTGGGTTTGATCCTGTCATTTAACCATGGTTAGTAAGTCATTTGTCTGCCTCTCATCATAGGCGTTCAGCCTCGTCAGGAATTCATACTCACCTCCTCTCCACTTTCCATGGTCTCATCCCGGATGGCTGGTTCCTCTTGCGCCTATAGCATTTCGTGAAGTAACACAAGTGATCAGCTTATGTCATCATGTGCATGACTCTTGAATTGAACTCACATGGCCCGCCTGTTCCGTCGAATTCGCAGACCCGTCTCCTTCAGTTGTCGTTGCTGGAGCTAGATCTGGTGTATAGGCCTGTTCGGATGTGACGTAAGTCTCCTGCTGATCTGCGCTCGCCATTGGCGAGGAGTGCTACTTGAGCGCTGCACACTTACATCTTTTCCTGGTTTAGAGATACCGCTAATACCCTTCTTGTGAGGTTCGATAGGTGCAAACGTGGTCTGCTAAAGGAGGACTCTGGCTCATCAGTAGCTGTATGTCACAAGTGTAGTGCTCGCCGTTGGCGAGCTGAGGTCAACTTCAACTAACCTCCTGTCCAGATGAAGAGTCTTCTACAATCCTGCGACTTCGTGTATTGTCCTGTGCATTCTGTACGGAGCGGCGTCAGTTTCTTTCCTGTGAATCTAGGTTCTTGTACTCTTTGTTGTTCATTGGCTAACTCACTTTTTTGTTTGTTGTACCATTACCCGTAATGGTTTCGACATCCTGCGGTGTAGGGATGAAACATTGTCAGTCGAAGGCGACGAGTGCTCGCCAATGGCGAGCGTCAATAGATACTGAACATCCTTTTGAGCCTGAGGTGAGTCCGCTGCCAGCTTCCTTCGCCTATTCGATTCGATGACAGTCAGCCTCTCTTCGTCCCTATGTACGTTTGGAGTTGAGGAAAGAGTTACTCACAAGTACCTTCTTTTTTTTGGCCTGCTTGTCCGAAATGATGGCGGCCTTGAACGTCTACAAATCATTCTATCATAAACATGAACCCTCATTGATTGGTTCATCCGTGTGAACTCACCTTGGGGATCTTGCTTGGTTCCGAGGCTTGAACGGGGGTCTTCAGCTTAGGATCAACGATAGCAGGTGCCTGCAAACTTCTCGTCAGTCTTGCCTGGGATTGCTCGCCGTCGGCGAGCAACTGACTACCGCGGATGGAACTCACCTTGCGTGGGGCCATCAAATCATTCACCGGGGCTGCGGCCTTCTTCGAATCAACGTATCGTCGTGAGTTCCTTCTGATCATTCAGCATACAGTTTGATGTCTACTTACAGCTCTGGGTGTCGCTGGAACGCTGGGAGCAGGGGTGAATGGAGCTGTGGTTGATCTGTTACGTTCAGACACCTGGTGATAACCATTTAAATCAGCTTGTTTCATTCATCCAATGCTTATATATTGTTCTTCAAAGCTTACCTCGGTGTCTTTGGAGCTGGAACCTTGCGATTGACGGTTCTTGGCACTGCTTTTGATCTGGTTAAGTTTCATTCGGATGTTAGCTTGTCGTGATCTTAGTCTTTCATTTGTTACTTCAATCGTAGCTGCTCGCCATCGGCGAGCAGGCGGATCGATGCATTTGTTCAAACGCTGATCGAACATTGGGTGAGTGGAAGGTTCAACTTGATGGTTGCCAAGTGATGAGGTGGGAAGTGATGTGATTGGTGTAGACTTCTTGTTGGGAGGTACTTACAGGGTTCATCTTTACTGGTTCTTTTTGGTTTGTTATCCGGTATTTCGGGTCGGGTCGGGTCGGGTATTGTCGGGTCGGGGTACGGGCGGGGTGTGAACGGGTTTACGCACGGATCTGGTTTAGAAAATCGAAAAATCAAAACCTGGACCTGCCTTTCGATCAAAACACAAAGTCCTTATATAGCCTACATTATCATCACGTTAGGTTTCGTGTGCTGCGCGCAGCAGTCACGTGATTACTGCGCCACGTGACTGCTGCGCGCAGCAACTGCGCTTACTAGCTCACTATCGTGAGCTAGTTTGGCGCTGTGCTCGCCGTCGGCGAGCATGGCGTCCAATCAGTGATTGCATGTTCTGACGCGGTCTGCTGAGGTTTGGCAGATGGTCACGAGTCTTCGTCATGTGCCGGTCACTTATACTGTGGCTGAGCATGTCTTGTTACCTCCGGCATGTCCACCGCATCCTTCCCTTTGCTCGCCATCGGCGAGCACACCATTTCGGGCCCATCACTCAGGTAGCCATGGCGCGGATCATCTGTCCATGACGCCTATATTCGAAAGGGCCTGCTCCCGCCATTGGTGTCCGTGTGGTTTGTGCCTAGTCTCATGATGCACCTGCGATGTGGTGTGCCCTTTCTGGACCTTATAATTGCCACTTGAACAAGCAGTTCATCACCTGTCTGCTGGTGTACTTATTGATGGTTGGCACACTGTTATTTAACATGTCATGTCCTCTGGAGTTATATGTGCTGCTCCTTGCAAGCCCTGGGTGTTTGTCCACCATCTCATTGGAATAGCTGCGCAGTGGGCTGCTCCGTGCATGTCTGTGCAGTCAATGAGTATAAACCGGTATATACTCAAAGGATACTCAGGTTTTACTAGTTTGCGGCGGCAAACAGAGGCAATAGTACTGATTATAGTCAACATTACTACCTTGGTGAGTAAACAGATACTCACTCCTGCGTCCCTGGGTGAGACAGGTATGGTGAATTTTACTGTGTTCCATGGGCCAAGGTCACAGTGGTCTGTATATGTACTTAGTATCAGGGGTACTGTGAGGGCCATGGGCAACGGGCAAAAAATACGTACGCAAAACCAGGAATTGCGTACGATGCGTGCTGTCCCGGAGGGCTACGGGGCTCCGCCCCGTAGCTAGGCATTCCAAGGTTTTACCATCCAAAAGCTTGGCATACTCACCTGGAATGCAGTTGGAGGTATTCATGAGTGCATGAGCAAATGACCCAGGCCGGGCTTTGGCCATGGGGTAAAACCATACTGAAGCCTGCGCTTCATCACGACCCGCACGGCCAGCCTCTTGAAATGACTTGTTGACCTCATCATCTCTTGGCATACCAACCAAGAACACATGGCGGACGTGCTTGTAGTTAATACCAGCACCAAAACCACTGGTTGCCACCATGACACATTTGTCAGTCGATTTCCACAACCCAACTTGTTTGCTTCGCTCGTCTTCAGGTATCCGAGAGTTGTACATTGCCACTGGAATGTCCTTGGCCTTGAGTGCATCTGCCATTTCCCCGCATTTGGCGATATTCTCGATGAAGATGATACTGCGATCCCTAGCGTGAAGAGAGGCCTGGGTGACTTTGGGTGATATCTTTTCGGCAATTGGTTTGATGTCATACATGACAGGCTGTAAGGAGAAATGCAGTTCAGGTTGGGCGGTTACTTCACGTTCTTGCACATAATTCCGTATAGAGAATAGGTCTAAAAGATGTCGCTCGTGACCAAGTTGCATGGTGGCAGTCATGAAGATGAAAGGACACTTGGTTGCTCACAGTTTGGCCACCCCACTAGCATAGGCTCGGAATCTCTCGTCATCCTTATAGCAGTGTGCTTCGTCAATGATGATACGGTTGATCTTGTCCAATGTCATTAACTCCTTTCGAAACGCCGGTGTTGCCGCCGCATCAGTGGTAGTGATCACCACTTTGATGCCTTTTGGAATCCTTTCCCCGCCCTTGTAATGTAAGTGAGGGACACCAAGCCTAGCGAATTCGGTAACTGTTTCCTCAACTAATGCAACCAATGGTTGGATGATGACAGTTACACCTTGATTTTCGACCAATGGTGGAAGGGTGTAGGCCAGGGACTTGCCGCTCCCAGTGCGAGCCACTATGAGATAGTCTTCACGCCTGTCGAATACGCCCTTGACCCAGCGTGCTTGGAAAGGGGTGCGAAATGTTGCCTTTTTGTCCTGTGTATATTTGCAAAGCACCTCCATCCATCATCTTCTCTTGTACTGGTGCCACCATATCCGTTTCGAAAACGCTATCAATCTGGAGACAACATGTCAGTCAATAATAGCAGGAAACTTTTAGCTAGGGAGTGGGCTTACACCCCAAAACACATGTGCAGCATTGCTAGTAATTCTGTACTTCAACTCTGAGGTTCGATCTACCTCAAAACCACCTGTTCCACCGTAACGAAAATTAGCTGTTGAACTGTTGTGGCCTCTCTGGCAGTCAAGCATTGCATTCTGCCCACGTAGGGCATTCTCAACTTTGAAGTGGGCATCACTGATAGCCACGGACGCTTGTCGCCATTCACGCACCCCAAGGGAGGCCACACCACCCTCGTGGAAGCGGCGCTTGAGAATACTGGTGAAGTCATCAGTGTCCAGCAACCCTTTGGTGCTGCTAACCCAGAGGTAAGTTGACATCTGAACAGCACGCTCAGGTTCGCCAAGCACCATTAGACCAAAACTGCAAAAACCGTTTTTCATCATCAATCAGTGGTCAGGCTCATAGTGCAAAACCAGAAACATGAAACTCACACTGCTACAGGCCGTATAAAACTGTTCCAAAAGTGCCAAAGCTTGCTATGCGCAGGAGGCAGGAAAGTCATCCGAGGCTTGTTTTTACCCGACATATTTCTTTCCTTGTGATACCAAGAGGTGATAGCAAAAACATTATGTCGCACAAACAAACTACGTGGTGCTACTCGAGTGTTGATCAACAAGGTTCCACTTTCTTCTGTACCTCGGATGGGCTGACCGGATGCCACATGATACAAGAAGTAAAATCGCTCCATCATCCTATCAACCTTCTTTAACCAACTCATCCAAGCAGCATCGTTCCAGATAGACATGTCAGTGGCGGTAATGTCTGTGTCGAGTTTGTCAGACCATGCCTTGTTGAATAATCCATGCAGATCATTTTTGGTAGCCCATTCTTTGAGCAGGTGTAGAGAATACTTCTTGTGAGTCATGTCGGAGTTGGTGAGGTAGTTTGCCCCAGGTCTTGTATCGTCTGGCCGATCACAGTATAAAGCTAGGTCAAACTCAGGAAGCTTGCATCCCTTGACGATATCGTGGAAGTCGACTTCGGCCATCTTGTCTTGCAGCTTGATACAAGAGCGAACACCAGAAATGGTGATTGTTTTGTTGTTGATCTGCAGGGTCTCTTGATGGATGTCAGCCCAGTGAGTTGAATCAGGCATGGTTTCTGACATGTGCACCGAAGTGGCCAGGTGCATCAGCTGACGTAGGATGTTAAAAGGGGCAGATGCACCCTTGTACAAAAACTTGAACTTTCGAAAGTCGTCCTTCCCCGGAGAGTCAGGGTCCTCGTCAGGATTGAATGCAGGTTGTTCCGCAGCTTGCTGAAGAAACTGTTCTGCAAAGGCAAGCCGGACCCCATACTGAATAGCCGCTATTTGACGTGTGAAGTCGTCTGGCTGGCCATATGATTCATCCTTCTTCAACAAGGAGCGCGCCACAAATTGACAGGCCGGAAGCCAGTATTGACAGTCGGCAGCACTGCAGTACATTTGGAATAATGAGCATAGCAAGGCTGAGACTTGTGAGCAAATGGGATTGTCCAAAGTTGCAGGAGCACGTTCTTCATCCTCGGCAGCTGAGTCGGCAGGGAGGACTGCACTGACAGAATGATGTAGCGCCCTTAGTTGATTTTTTTGAACGGTGTATAGGCGGGTGTTGGTGTCAGTTGGTCGAAGTGTCTCGTCAATCAGATAACACATAAAGCGCGCTATAGTTGTTGCATATTTTGTGACAGTGGACATCTCCTGCAGAGGCATCAATCCTTTGTTGTCCTCCACATCACTGAGAACAAATTGCTCATGTGAGTAAGTTTGCAAGATATAAACTGATCAACTGAGGCTTACCTAGTCTCCGCTGTGCAGTGTCTCTTCAGAAGCTGGCCGGTTTTGTGAAGCCGTTTCATTGTTGCATTGATCCACAGACTGATGTAAGGTGCCATTGCTAGTACATACTTATCTGTGTCTGAGGGGATCATGAGGTCCTTGATTGTATGACCACTTTCAACGAGTCCACTGATGTAATCGTGGATACCGGAAACATACAACCAGTTGGCCATTTCTTTGACATTTGTTGGATCGGGAACGAGTTGAGAGTCTGCAACGTGTTGTTTCAGTTTCTCTAGCAGACGGTCCACCGTGTCAGAATGCTGTGGGGCCTCTTCGTGGTCGACCTCCATGGTGTCCACGGATTGGTTTACGAGGTGTGGACGCCGGATGTAAGACAGAACAGGGAAGAAATGAGTACGATTATGGCTGTACAAGGTCTGACATTTGTTGTCATGAGTGTGCTGTGATGGAGAGATGCCTGGAAAAGGAAACCACCAGATGAGTTGATGAACATACCACTGGACCAAGTGAACTGACCAGGATGATCAACACTGAAGTGATTCTTAACAGTTTTTTCACAGGGCCAACACCGGTCGCACAGGTCACATCGGATACCGTCGTAGATGATCAGTGCCTCAAGAGGCTCGCAGGGCTTTCCTTCTATGTAGTCCAAAGGTAAGGGGCCTTGATTAACCTCTTCCACATAGCTGCTCAAGTCTGCCAAGACCTCAGATCTCTTCAACGACATTGTTCCGATATGTTTGCCCACATGAGACGAAATTTCGGTTGGGGGGATACCCTTGTGGCATTTGACGCATATGAGAATATGGCAGCGCTTGTTCCACACCAGGCCATACTTCAATAGAGTGTCGTCACCTGCAAGAGGACATCAGTGTGTTTCGATGGCCCACAGAGATATGGCTTACATTGAATCTCCAATCCCTCCGGCACCACTGTATTGAGAGATTCGACCGCGGACACAGGTGTAACGTCCTGAACCTCATTATACTTGCAAGTCTTGACGTGCTTTATCATGTACCTCGCATTCTGATGATTGTATTTGCAACTACCCAAAGGACACCAAAACTTCTCATCATTCTTACGAGTCACCTTTAGTGATTCTTGATGCATAGTCGTCACAGAGACATCTTTTTGATGCATGATCCTACGATGTTCAGTGAGCTGAGAGGTTTCTTTGAAAGTGACCTCACAAGCCACACAGCTGTGGACAGCTACTGATTGTGCTACATTGGCCACATCCACTGTGTCTGTAACATCCATGGCACTGCTCTTCTGGAAAAGCCCCCAACATGTCAGAATCCGAGCACACAGCAGGACCGCCGAAAATCCATTTCGGCGGCCTCAAGGTAATTTAAATGAACCCACTGTATTAACCCAAGATCAGTTGAGCTTGATGCCAAGGAAATGATTGTCAGGTGCACAATTAGTGTACAGTCAAACCTTGATCTATGCAACACACTTGTGCAATCAGTGTAGCTATCAGAAGAGGGGCAGGGCCGCCGGAAAAGCTTTTCGGCGGCCCGACAAATGTCACAACAACGTCAGCTGTCAGATGAGCAAGTGTCACGGAAATAGAAGTCACTCACAAGGCTGAGCGCTCTGGATGTAGTGTCCAGATGTCACAGGTCTGTGACAGGGGGTATGACAGGTGAGTGAAAGACAAGAGACAGGCCCGTGACAGACTTGTCAAGAATATTCAAGAAGAGGGGGCAAAAGGACCCTCATGTATTTAAGATAACGGGAGAAAACATTTATCACAACTCCTGGGGGCAACAACCGGCAAATCTCGGGACCAGGCCAAGTTGTGGGTGCTGCGGATCACGTGATCCGCAGGCGCTGCGGCCGCAGCAGCAAGTCAAAATGAAGAAGTTTGGTATTCACTGAATGTGGCCGCACCTTTACAAAGTTGACACATTTGTCTTGGGGTTCAAATGATGAGGTACACCCTGACAGCAAATTAATCTCACCCACATGTGGTTGTATAAGAATTTGATCCAATAGGAGTATGTAATGGGATAATGTGAAATATTCCAGTGAAATGTGATCAGAGGTGACACATGACGTGACATATTTATCATCAGAGCTCAAGATGCACAACAGCAGCATAGTCAATAAAATCATACTGGATAACCTGTATACTCACATGAATGATCCTGATCTTTCTTCACCAGGCCGCCGGAAAAGGAATCCGGCGGCCATGCAGTTTGACCACCTCCATCATTGTATCATAGCTCTGAATACACAACGATGGAGAACCCAAGAAAGATGATAATGTGAAGTGAGATGGGTGTGAGTGATGGATTGATGAGCAGAAGTAATCAGACAGTACATTGCAGTGGAGGTCGGACACATTATTGGGCCACTAACCACACCCATCTCAGCTATGTATATGAGCACAATCAACAACATGACTAAGTTGAGCGGCCTAGGCCGCTTGGAAAAGTCTATCAGCCTTCACTGGATGCAGAGATACAATTCATCATGAATTACAGGGATTATGAAAGGAATCCGTCACCGCCGGAAAAAAGAAATGGCGGCCAGCCAATAGTCTGAACATTGAAAAGCCAAAGAAGCAATGTGCCATCAGCATTGCATTCTCTTCACACGGCAGGGAACTGGAAACAGTGGACACAGTATGGGCCAGGTACTAATACCCATACACAAATAGCAACAGTCTCTTCATTGAGAAAAGAAAAAGAGCATGGACCGCCAAAAAACAAAGAAGGCGGCCTCTCAGACACTGAAGAAACATAAACATGACAAAAACCCCAACTGGAAACAGTGGACACAGTATGGGCCAGGTACTAATACCCATACACAAATAGCAACAGTCTCTTCATTGAGAAAAGAAAAAGAGCATGGACCGCCGAAAAACAAAAAAGGCGGCCTCTCAGACACTGAAGAAACATAAACATGTCAAAATTGGAGGAACAAATCATTGAGCATACAACATGAAGAGCTAATGAAACTCGAGCTCTACTCCTCTTCCTGTTCACTTTCTTCCTCACCATCACCCACAGATTTTTCAGATCCTCCATCATCATCATCGAGTACCTCTTGGGGTCCAGGTGCATTTGAGCCTGACTGCTCAGCAGGAGGACCTCTCATAAAGCCACCTCCAGGTCCCAAATTTACATCAACAGCTTGAGTGTTGCGCTTGACCGCCTTAGGCGGTCCTTCAGTCGGACCAAAGATGCGGCGGAATGATTCTGAATGAGGGGCATATGGATCCCAATCCTGCTTGGTCTTGCTCTTGATGTCAACTTCGTTCACCACCAGACCATTGATACCTCTACTACATTTAGGCGCACCAAATTCAGTAAATAAGTCTAAGGTAAAAAGCTTAGCTATAACAGGAAAATCAAATTCTTGAGTAAAGATTGAAGTCATTTGAGGCCACCTGATATCTGTAGCAAATTTGTGACCATTCATGAACTTTCGTAAAACACAATAAACATGATTGTCAAGTCTGGCCCATGCTCTATCTCCAAACACATGCTTTCTTGGGGGTTTAGCTTTACCCTTTTGATCCATGAACATAGTTGATAACATGATTAATCTCACAGCCTCATGCATGTTTTGATCTTTGAACCTTGTCCATACGTGAATTAATCCTGAGGTGCCGAATGTGAGGAATAGGGCTAGAGATTGGAGTGCTTCTTTTCGAAGTAGTGAGAGATCGAGGCTTACTTCTTTCGTGCTGACTTGTAATTGACCATCATTTTGAATAAGTTCAGTGGAGGCTGCTGGAGGGGCTGTAATCTTCTTAGATGTCTTCGACTTCTTCATCAAAATAATTTTGTTCTTGACATTAGCTCTGACTAATTGATTTAAGCAAGTTAATTCCGATGTTTTCTTCTTGTAATCAGCTAATTCCTCCCCAGACATGCCTCTCTGTTCAGCTAAAACACATTCTGCATTGTACATATGAGACTCATACACCATCATGATACCTAGTAAAACTAAGAAATAACGTCGTTGTAAGGCAGCCAAGTCCCGCTTAGAAGTCTTGATCTTTCTATCGGATTCCTCAGGATCCGTGTTCATGACTATTTGCTGATAAATCCACCCGCAAGCTTGAGAGAATGGTACGAATTCTTCAGGTACTGCTAAATCCCCTTCGACTTCTATTTCAATATTGTCATGAATAGTGGAAGATGAAATATGTTGTAAACCTTGATTGTAAATAGTACGAATTGAAGTGTAACCGTCCCTGATTTGCTTGAGGAGCGTAGGTTCGTCAGTCCAGTCAGTAGATGTGTCAAATCTACAACACATGCCATGTAGAGCGCGGAAAAGCCCGTTGGTCTTGTCCCAGACGTAGTTTTTGGACTTCGAGATAAGATCCCACTTCAGGAGTTCAGGCGCAAAGTACGGATCTTGAGAAGAGACTTGCATAAGCCTAGGAGCTAAGGTTCAATCAATGGTCAGTGATCTGGAAGGAAATATCAGAATATATATACGGAAACACTCACCACCTTTGAGATGCCAGAGGAACTCATCATCTTCTCCAAAGGACTTCATCATCAATATATGAGGCTCTAGATCCTCGAATGTGGGCTTGCCGTGTTCAGTTGCAGAATCATAGCTCCATCTACATAACAGGAATTTGACAGGCTGACTGAGTGTTTCACCCCAGTTGAATGAGTTGTTGGTGATCTTCTTTTCCATCCTTTCTATAAACTCAGCTTCCACTTGAGTAATTGATGTCGTGATTTCTACAAATAAGCAAGGACCATTGATCAGTATGATGCGCGGCACGTAATTAGCACAAAGGATGAGTAAGAAACAGTTAAAGATAGAGAATAATGACAGATGTGATGCCGCTGTCAATTGTATTAGGCGGTCACTTTCTTAATAATGATATATCAATGAAGGGAGGACCGCCGGAATAGAAAAAAGGCGGCCACGCTCTCAGCTCATAGCAGATGAGTCACAAATAATGCTGTGCCAGAGATAACATGCTCAGGTTCGGATGCGGTCCGGTGTGAATGTAGGATAGGTAATATGAATGAAAGCAGCTGCCGGAATTGAAAAAAGGCGGCCAACCAACGTAACCAATGTCCTTGATAGAAATCACAGGAAAATGATATAGGTGCCGCCGGAAAGAGAAAAAGGCGGCCGATATGAAGGAGGATACAGATTGAATGCAAAGCTCACCTGTGATGTCGACATTCTTCCTCGCGTAGATGCAGAATTTGCTTTCAGGCATCTTATAAACACTAGGTTTCTTGGGCTTTTCCCCAGTACCACTTTTCTTCGCCTTCTTGATAGCCTTTGCTTCTACAACCTCCTCCTTTTTGCTGGTAGACTGAGCTAGCTTAGGATCATCCGCTTCAGTAACGAATTCGGAACTCTTAGGGTCTTGTCGAGGTTTCTTGGCAGGGCGCTTCTTCTCATTGTCGTCTGATGAATCTTCTCCTTCTTCCGCTTCCAAGTCAAGGAACATGCTGGGATTCACTGTGGTGGCAACAGCTGCAAAAAAGAACCAGATGTTAGTTCCAATCAATGATCAATGAAAGGGTGGTCAACATTACATTTAGCCTTCCCCATTGGTACTTTACGCTTCGTGGCCACGTTTTGACCACGTTTCGGAGTAGGATCAGGTACCACGATTAAGGCAGAGGTGATTTGAATGTCGGGGTCATTTTTGGAAATGAGGCGGTCCAGCTCTCGTCCTTTAGTGTCCAAAGAAAATTTAACCCTAGCCAGAGATCCAGTCAAATCTTCTACCTCTCCTTCAATACCTTGCTTGTCTTCATCGACACCTTCTTCCTTCATGGCAGTTTTGAGACGATGGTAAGTTCTGGCCACTAAAAGACCTTTTATCAGTCATGACACCTTCATTTGAGTCCAATCAGATGACTTACTCTTCGCATATTGAGCGCGTTTGAGCTCTATGAGTTGGTCTCGAGTCAGGCTACCCTCGTCAACTTGGGATTCTCCCTGAGATATCAAGTATCAGCATAAGATACAAAGAAACTCAAGACGCAATTACTTACTCGAGTTGCATCAGTGGAGTCATCCTTCTTGAAATGAAGATCCTTCAAGGCGCCGCCTCCTTCCACCATGATGCTGTCCAAAAACTGCATTGCCTGTGTGTCAAATTCAAGTGACTAAACATGAACTTGAGGCTCACTTACAGCATTGAGCTCCGTGGTCTTCTCTTTTGTGGATGGTTGAGCCTGAATTGTCAAAGCAATACATGTTGAGTTATCTTTCAATGAATGTTGTCAAAGAGAAGTACTCACGTCCTTTTCGACAGAGTCCTTGGCAGCCCGTGGTTTAGGTCCTTCGACAGCAGGACTCAACTTGTATAAGAATAGGATTAGTCAGTGCGAGTTGATACAACTCTGATAATGTCTGTACATACCTTTTCCGCTGCTTCTTCTACAGGGGGCGCTGACGTGCTGCGTTCAGCCTCTCATGAAGTGGAGTCATCAACCTGATGATTCAATAAGAGATTAGTCAGTCATTATTGCTGAATTAGATTTCATCCGAACTGTGATCATGTACTCACCTGTTTGTTGTTTGCTCCACCTAACACACTTGGGTCTATGTGTTGAGACTCCGTCAGCGCCAACTCTGTAGCCTGATGGTTTGATTCGAGAGGAATAAGAGTGAGGAAGGTCAGCCTCAGATTGTATAGATAAGAGGTTTAGGCCGCCGAATTATGTTTTTGGCGGCCTCCAACGTCACTACTTACCTCAGGTCTGATGGTTGGTTCCGAAAGGGATTCGATGGGTGAATTACCTGCCTGCATGATTGACGAGCTGTTGGTAAAGTGATTAAACATACACATAAGGTCAGCTGTCTATTAGCACGTGTTAATATGAGTTTGAATGTGATTGAGGCCGCCGGAATTCGGAATCGGCGGCCATGGAATGTATGAGGGCTTACTTATGTTTGTTTTTGGAAGTTTGATGAGTTCGGATTGGTTTGGATGTTTGGCTGAACAGATGTAATAAAGAAAATCAATTCCAAGTCAGTGACCGCCGGAAAATGAAAACGGCGGTAGTGAATTCTTCAAGAAGTAATGGATTAAGTAACTTGATTGAGGGTATGAACGTCTTGAGGTTTGGTGGATGATGATGCAGTGAATGGTGAGGTGGGAATTGGAGTGAAGTGAGGATTTCGAAATGAAAGACAAGATGCCTGGAGGACCAGAGGAAGAGTACTCACAGGGCACGGGGCTCGGGTCGGGTCGGGTCGGGTACGGTACACGGGTCGGATTTGAAAAATACTAGCAAGGATGACTAGGGGTTGGTCAAGACCAGGTTGACCTGAATTTATAGTCGAAATTGGAGTCACTAGGTTAGGGCTAGAATGTGAGTATCACTATTGTGGTTCCCCTGCTGCGCAGCTGCGGCTGCGCACGTGAGCTAGGGAGCATAGCTGTGACACGGGTCCGGACCCGGTCCCGCAGGCAATACCGGTTCCGGGTTGTCCTGCGTCTTCATTTTCTGTGCTTGAATGTAGCGGCCGCCGGAAATGCAAAACGGCGGCCATTGCTGTGTTTTGCTGATTCAAGGTATGGTTAAATACCCATTGGGCCGCCGGAAATTGATTTCCGGCGGCCCATCCCTTCTGAGCCTTGGCTATCCTTGTGGAATTCAGCTATTCCATGTGTCACCCACTTCCTGACCTACAGTTTGGGTGATTGTGACCTCTTTCTCAACCTGAAGAGTAAGTTGTTGCTTCTTTGAGAGTATTGTGGGTCAATCTCCAGCTGACATTGCATCAGTAATTTGTTGAAGGGTTATTGAGGGTTCTATACAATTATGCACTTCAATAAACAAGCAGTTCGAGGATGTGGTATTGGGTAACTTGGAATCACGAGGTGAGGGATACAGCAAGGCACAGCTGGCCGTTTTATTGAATGCTTCACAAGCAGTACAATATGTTGAAATTGCAGACTATAAGACATGAAGTATAATCGTACTTCATGTAGATGAGGCATTTGTCAGGGAAGGTTCTACAATTCACATAAGAGAAGATGACCCACACGTACCAAGGCATATGAGTTTGGACTTGACAGCAGGTGATTTGATACAAGCGCTGGAAATACAATTCTATTGAGGTGAATTCTGAAATTGATGAGGAAGGTGATGTATTCTATGTCATGATTTGCTTTGGTTCAAGAAAGTGTATTTCATGCAACTGGCCATGCATTAGCATACTAGTTGATATATCGTTGATTATTAATGTAGATTGCCTTTTGTCATTCAGTTCTTGCAAGGCTAAACAATCCAGAGTGAGGTGTGTAATATGTTGCAGTCATTATGAATTTGATATACACATAGGGTATATCAGATGTGCAGGGATGAGCTCGCCCCCAATAAACCAATGAATGGGTATATACATTACACATATCAGTACTTGTTCACTTGCCTTGCAATTGAGTGAGGGGGTGAGCTCTTAAGTTACAAATACATAATGTGTAGTTGTGTTGTGTAGGTGTTGTGATGTGTGATGCAATGTGGAAATACATTATGTACTTTTGGTGTAATTATTCAGAATGCCAAGGTGACGTATTGCCACAATGAAGGATGCCGCATGAGGACATTGTTGGTTTGATTGCTTATAATACTGCAATTTGTTCATCTCCTGTCTCATCAATATATGCAAATCATATGGTTTTAGCTTGTCTTGTATTTCCCTGACAGTTGTCCAAGTGAATGTGTTGCAGTTGAGTATCATGTATAGGGGTAATGTGTGGGTGGTTTTGTGTGGGTGGTTTTGTGTAAAACATACAAATGTAATAATTGACTATTATTTTGTTGTTTCTAAACGATAATACAACAATCCAAGGAATTGTTGATCCTTTCTTGTTTATTTCTGTTGAATTGTATAATAAATTGTGAATATATTATTGTTATAATTATCAAGCAGTCATTTATTTTTTGATTTCAGATGGATGGATAAACCCTGGGCTTGTTCTCATTGTATGATTTTCATTCAGAGAATCCATATCAACCTTTTTTGTAGTGGTGCTTTGTAGGCGTAGGTAAAACGATTTATATATCAATGGATACGGGGATCATATGTATTGGCCATTATTATGCCATAATGGCCAAACCCTAGATTTTATTCCTTGCAAAGGAATAAAGTAACTATTTTTGGGTGTGATTTTACAAACCCAGTAGTGATATGACAGGTGTTTCCCTGCGCAATCAAGTATTAGGGGTTTGTTAACTTTGTAGAGGTGATGAGTGGGTGATTTGATGTATAATGCCATTACTACAAATATGAAGCTTTTGGGGTATTTGTTGGTTAAATTAGAATACCTTTGTGATTTAACATTTTGTTGAATGAAGCCACACAACTTACATGTTGTTTCATTTTCATCAATCCATTTATTGGATGTATTATGTTATGAATGTCAACTGTGTGATAGTTATGTTATTCATATTATAGTATATGCTAATAAGATCTTTGTAACATTATACTTATGACTGCATTAGCATTAGTCATATATATACAGATGTTAGTTTTGTTAGTTGGATTGGGTTATTTTCTTTACCTTTCCAATATTGTCTAACATTTCCATTGAGGTAAGTTGACTAAATGCAATGTCGACCTTTCCAATATTGTCTAACATTTCTATTCAGTCGTGAGATCCTTCTGATCAAATTGTTTTAATTTCCCTAAAATTTAAACCTATGAATATGTGCATTAGGTCCTTTTGTGGTCAGTAGTGATTGGTGGGAGGTAGGATGTATAATACAATTGATGTAGGAACTATATCAAATAAATTCATGTTCTATAATTCAAAATAAGAAAGCCACTGGGTTATTTCAAACCCCAAACCACATGAGGCCCTTGTTGTTGTCATTTCTTACCAAATGACAGTTTACTTTGCTTCTATCTTACCATAAATTGTCAATTATACATTGTACTTCAGTAATTTTATGTGTGATAAAATTTTCAAAGAAAGTACTTGTCAAATATTCTTCCGAATGATGGTGGCTGGGCTACATTTATACAGGTATATAGTGTGCCTGTATAAATTGTTTGGTGGGGGAGCAAGTCCACAAGTGCACATTTGGACTCGTTTTCCCTGCCCCAGCCCAAAAAAATATGTAGCAGCAGGTATGTACGTGTACATGATCCTTTGAGTACCGTAAACGATCATGTGAGAGTGGAGTATATGTGTAATGATGTATAAGGCAGATACTGTGGAGGCCATATCAATTAAACTAATGTGACAATGAAGACAAAAACCATAATTGTCTTTGGGTACGGTGTATTCAATCATATCGTGTGTTCAATCCTAAGGCCAATATTGAAATTTGAATTTTTTGCTAATTGTCGTTGAAATAATGAATAAATTATCATTATTTCCATTCATTTATTTTGATCCATACGATACGATTTAAGGACTGCAGGGGTTGTGACTCTGGGTCGTGTAGCCCACTTGATGTGACATTCAAAGGGCCAGTTCTAATCAAATCATGGAATGAATATGACTTGGTTATTTAGAAACACTAATGTGACATGGTGATTCATTGGGCAAAACTGGAGGGCTTACTGTTCAATTTATGATATTTATTATATTAGGTAAATGCACAAATGTAATTTAAATTCCCTTGTTGGTTTAAACCCGGTGTTTTACTAGTCAAAAGTTCATGGAACATTTCATGTAATGTGGGTGTTATTTGTGTGCAGTAGCTCCTTGTCTCATTGCCTGCCAGTATTTGAATATAGGTACCAGATGTTTTAGTTCAAGCAATGTATGTCAATTAGTAATTAGTTGTAGGCAACAAGTTGCCATCATTTTTGGTACAAATGTTAACAAACCTGAAATACCAATGCCACATAAGGATCCATTGGAGCAAAGATCATGATTTCCTTGTTGTATAATCAAAATTTTGGGTATATTTTAATTGGTAAAATTTTAGGGATACCACATGACTTGCTTGATGTTACATTGGGTTGAGTCCGTCTATAAAATTATGATACTTCATAATAATTTTTATTCTAAGGTTTGTATTTCTTTTTTTTGCTTTCTCATGTTTTCTTTGAACCCATTATGTATTACAGGTGGTTGTGGCGTGATGTGGGGATGTGTATGTGGTCCAAAGTTGGAACCAAGCGCTTACAAAATATATCATTTACGATGTTATTTGTTAATTTGTAAAACCAGTGCAGAGTACCAAATGAATGGCAAGTGCGACCTGACTTCTTTGATGTTTATATTTATTCATCCTATAGAATAAATTATTTGATTAGTGTATCAAATCAAATCAAAGCTCTTTGTAGAAGCAACTAAGGATCTGTGTGGTAGGAATTTCTTAAAAGCAAAGATTGTAATCGATTTGAATCTCTAGATTACATGGAACTATCTATGCATATAATTTTGTGTGTGATTGTGAGGTATGTGGGATTTAAAAGCAATGTATCAAGCAATCACTATTGATGTTTCATGTTAAAGGAGGATGCCTTTGGAGGGGAACAATTTGTTGAGAATAGCAACCCGCCTTGCTTGTCAGAACGTTTTCATTGTACCTTTTCAGTGAGTCTTGTGCTATGTTATAAGATAGGTTATATTGATGTATTTACGCTGAAGAAGATATTTTGCAAAGTGTATACCAAAAATTTATGTATAAAGGGTGAGTTGTGTGGGCAGTAATAGTGTGGGTCATTTGATGTATAATGGATTGGCTACAGGCAATGTATGATTTAAAATTTTTTTAGTTAATTTGGGATATGCAAGAAACATGTCCATTTAATAGAGAAGAAACATGAGTTCCATGAAGTTCAAATCCAACTGAAATCGATTAGTTTGGAAACAGTACATTTTATAATTAATTGTGTTGAGTTGTTTTTAATTTGAATATTTTATATCACTCATTGTGGTCACAGTATATGAGGTAGGGGTGTTGTTTGGGGGTAGTTGAACTTGTGTTGGTGGTTCGGTGTACAATGTGGTGGCTCTAGTAATTATATCACATTGGTGTTGCACTTTGATAAAGTGGGATACCAATGTAACATTTCAATGTGAATTGAAGTAATTCACATGAGTTGATTGATGTACCAATATAATTATATTCCACAATATAATTATTAATCTTGTATTGTTTGGATTTCTATCATTTCGTGCGACAGGTTTCAAACCTGTAAGACTCTTTGAGAATTGCAGGTTTAATTAATTATTCTTACTTAGTTTAAAATGGTATTTCCTTTTTGTGTCCTTTCATTGTGAGTAAAATTTTGAGTTTTGTTCTAGCTTAATTACCAATTAATTTTATTGGAGTGATTAGATTTAATAAATATTTGAAAAGACGACACAAGTTCCTTGTTGTCGGGGTTGGTGAAAACGTTTCTAATTAGGTTTATTTGGTTGTATAATGGTTTTGTACCAATAATTTTATATCAATTATATTATTTCTCCAATTTCCATCAAGATGATTATGCCTGACATTTTCAATGTGTGTGGTTGAGTACACATTGTGAGCACACATTGTATCATTTGAAATTTCCTTTGTTATTTCAAATACCAGTGTGAG